TGATCTCTCAGTCGTGGAGCTTTGATGCTGGGAAGCAAATGGCTGTTCATCCCAACTTTGGTTTGATGCAGCAGTCGTACAATACTTTCAAGTATTACTCTCACTTCTTATTCAAAGGTAAGAAATTGCATACATTCTGGGACAGTGACAGATGACAGCATTCAACTGACAACTGAAAAAATAGCTAAGAGGTTTTGCAAGTACAGCAGGAAGATGCATGTAATTATTGTGTGTTAGAACACGTAGTTCTCAAATGAAAACAGCATTATCTTGTTCTGCAAACACCAGATCATCTTAGTGGTCTCTTTCAGCCTGAATGATTTAGTGATTCTAATTAAAACACTCACATAAGAACTCTTAACAGATATCCCCAAACTGAACATAAATCTTTGCTGATTTCCAAAATAAAGATTCAGTATTTAGCTTTCTCTATATGTGCTTATATTTTTCTTTTCTCTGCAATTGACTTCTGGAACTTTTTATTGGCAGCAATGAGAGATAGTTATATCTGGAATTAACTCAAAGCTTTATCTGTCTGAACTGGCTGAATGTTACCATTGCTGTGTGATTTGAAAATTCCAATTCCAATGTTAGACTGAGGCTCAGTGAGACCCTCCTGGCACTGCTTGTAGCTTGTAGCCAGTTTTCCAGACATGTATTATTCAACTGCATGGATCATTTGCCAAATGTTCTATGCTTTAATATCATAAAATTTCTTCTTGCTATCAGCTATAATGCCAAGAAATGGTTGAGCCATCTTTTTTTTTCCATTTCTCTTTCGGACCTTGCTTGTATTTTTAGTAGAAGGCACTTACCTTTCCCCTGAATACAAAGGTAGTTCATGGGGTTTGGTTGTTTTTTGTCTGTTTGTTTTTCAAGAACCCTTCAGTTCCTGAAGGAAGCATAACTGTTCTCCTTACATCTATTTTTCAAGAACACTTTCTAGTCAGATTATATTCTTCAGGAAATGAGCTGCCCTTTTTATTCTTTAAGGGTATCCAAAAATGGTGTCAAAGGACCAAAAACAGATATTTCAGGATGAGTTAGAATGGCTGCTTCCAAATTCTACAGGAGGTCAGAACACCTTTGGGAACCACCTAAGCCCATACTACGAGATCTATGATTGCTTCATGGACAGAGATTAATAAACCATTCCGTAAGGAAATTTGCTGAGTGACCCAGTTCTTTCCACCCTCTTTATTAAGCACTACAAAACGAATCTGTGCTTGTTATCTACACGTGTTCCTCCAGTCACTGTGTATTGTAGAAGACTCTCTCACAATGTGTTGATCCAGTATCCATTGAAAGCCAATACAAAGTAGTCTGGACTTCAATGGCTTTGGTGCAGGCCCTGACTTCTAACTGCCCACCTTCCCTTCCTCCCTGCATGTTACTGCTGCTTGCTGATTCCCTTTCTGTAAGTGCATGGCAGAGCTTAGGGAGTTTCTGCTGCCTTTTTTACTCTGTTAAATAAGGATATGAAGAATAAGTCAATTTGTTTATTTGTGGAGCTTGAAGGGTTTGTCGTAGGAGTTTCTTTGATTTTCTCTCTCATGTGGACATAGCTCAAGAGAGCATCAGCAGAGCTTCTTCCTTCAGAGGCCACCAGCAGGCCTAACCACGTTTCCTGGTCAGTTGGCATTACAATAAGAACACAGCCTCTTGTTGTGAAAGCAGCCTGGGGAAAGCATAAGACAGTTTCACTTGGAACTTGCATCTAATTTGCAGTTCTTTATAATTCCAGAGGGAAAGGTTGGACCTGTCTCATACAAAATTGCATGTTTGTTTCCATTGTCCTCAGCTTTCTACAATAGGCTGCTTTTGTTGCTTTTTTTCTCCTAAATTGAAATGCCGATCCTGACTTCAGAATATTAATCTTTGTTGAAGCTTATTTTGCCTTTTGTTTTTCTCCCAGTGGTAACAAAGCTTGTAAATAGAGGATACCAGCCACATTTGGAGGACTTTCTACTGCGAATCAACTTCAATAACTACTACAAGGATAACTGAGCCCTGCAGCCTAAAGATCACTGATAGCATGGTGAAGCAGAAACAGTAAACCCTATATGCTTGTAATTTATAGGAGCTTATGCAAATGCCATGCAAGAGGCATTTTTGTCAATTAAATAACCCATCCTCTGATAGCTTGAAGAATATAGCCACCACATAGTTTTTAAGATGCATCACTCTGTCTGTAACAGCTTCCTGTCGTTTCACCTACTGAGAATCGATGTTGCCATTTTCACAAAGATAGAGGAGTGCCCCAGCTTAGCAGAGGAGGGAGTGCAAAACTGTATATCTGTGAATGTGTAAATGTTGTATTTTCAGTGTTGTGAATTTCCTCCGATGTAAATACGTACATGTGCAATAAATCAAACGATAGATGCTTTCTAAAGTTGCTGAGTGTGAGGTGCAGCTGTTCAGATGGAACCTATTTGATGAGTTTTGTTTTCACACTGACAAATAAGATCACATAAGATCTACACATGACAACTTCTTGAAGGCTGGTAGTGGAGTGAAAGAGGAGGGCTTGATGAAACATTGCAGTGATTGGGGAGAGGATAAGTATTGCACTATTCAAGCACTCAGCAACTGTGCGATCACTTATCACAGATCTACTGTCCTTATGGCTGATTTGGGCTTTACATAATCACCACAAAATGAACTAGAAGAGAAATTCAGCATCACAGGAGCGAAACACAACTCCAATGGCTGCTTCTAACTGCAGGATCACAGTTTTTACTTCCTTGTTTGTTTTTTTTTTACGTCAACGTTATCAAAAGAAACTATGAAATATGAAATGTTGCAGAGGAGGACTCTGCTTTGCATTTTTCAGGTTTGAAGTATGTTGACTTTTGAGATTATAAAGTCACAATTGCTTAGAACATAGATATATTCAGAGCCTCGTTTTCTAATTGGCAGCCACTTAAAGGTATAGGCATTGCCCACATATTTCCATAATATGGAATACCAAATATGATTTTTTGTTACCTATGGTGTTGGCTTTTTTCCCCTGAAATGGAAATAACACATTGGAGTCAGAATATATCAGTTATAAAGCTGCCTTGGTCCCAAGTCGCTCCAAAAGACCATATTACACAGTTCTAACAAATCTACCCTGTTTTCTCTATCTGTGCTCCTTTCACTTCTGTGCTATCTTTCCTGCTGCAGAAGAAGATATCCAAAGGGCAGGTAGCTTGCAGGTTGAGCTGCTTTGTTGCACGGGCAGGCAGAGAGCTGTTTGCCTGCCTGATGTGCTTGTGCAGAAATCAGCTAGAACAAGTCTGCTGGGACTCCTGCAGTCCCTCCTGCTGGGACTGTTGTCCTGACGCACAGCGATCACTAGAGAGCAGCCAAAGTGCTTCCAGCTCCCAGGCTGGGACCTCAGAGCACCTCAGCACAGAGCAGCAGTCAGGTGACTTCCAAAGGAGCTCTGTGTGATGAAAACGAGAGGAATATGAGCAAGAACTAAAACATCACAGATGTCAAAGCACGAGTACCGCTCATCATTTTCCCACTGCTTGCCTTCCTCTCCCAGTCCTTGCCTCCAGCTCTGTGGTACTGAGTGTCTGTATCCATCTTTTTTATAGAACTTCTGAAAAAAAAAAAAAAAAAAAAAAAGAAGATCTAACAGCAAAGCTGGGCCTTTAGGTGCAGTCTTACAACAAGAAAAGAAAAAAAGAAGTACAGAAGTGGTTGTGGGTTGGCCTCCAGCTAAGCATCCATATAGCTGCTCTCTCAGCCCACTGCCACCATGGAACAGTGTGGGTTGGAAGGAACCTTAAAGACCATGCAGTGCCACCCATGCTGTGGGCAGGGCAGCTCCCACTAGATCAGGCTGCCCAAAGGCCCTCTGGCCTTGAGCACTCCAGGGATGGGGTGCAACACACGCAGGACAGCAGAGAAAAGGGGAAAAGCAGAAATGAGGGCCCAGGAAGAGGGAAATGCTGCAGCAGCAGCCACTCCTCACATCCCACTAGCAGGGCACAGCCCAGCCACTGTCCCTGCAACTTGTGATTCTGTGAACCCCCACCTTCTATGGCTGAACAGGGTGATACAAGGCACAGAAGAGCAGCTGCCCCCCCCCCAACAACTCAGCTTGTGGCTGTGGGACAAGGTGAAGAGAAGAGAAGGCCTTGAGACTGCAAAAACACTGCAAGGAGCAGCCCACACACAGGGCTTATTGGGGCAGCTGAGCTGCAGAGCCAAAGCTGCACCACAGGGCTGCCAGGATGAGAGTTAGTCAACCAGGTCCTGCCGAGGCCCTGTAAGAAAGTAAAATTCATTTTGATTTGGAAAACATTGCCTATGTAGAACCAGCTGTCAGGAAATAGCAAGAACCACCTCTTCAAAATAGAATAACTAATGGGTATTTTCAACTTAGTGATGCTGTATGATGTAACACAGGTGTACAGGTGTTAAATGTGAAGAATGCAACACAGTTAAGGCTCCTACATGAAATGTGGCAGTACAGTGAAGCCCTCTAAGTATTTTTACGTCCACTGCCTCAAATATCAGCCAGCTCTGGAAGGGTGAAGTGCAGTCTGGTATCTGTGTCTGTCTCCTAGTGACTCCTGATGGAGATCTTATAATGCTTCTTTCCCTTTTGACTCCAAGGCCTACTTTGAGCAGGGCTTAAAAATCAAATCCCGTATCTGCTGACAGCAGGCAGCCGAGTTCCTCCCTTTTCCCCCCTTTCCTTCTTAAATCTTTGGGATTAAAGAGGCATCAGTGTAGGTCCTACAGACAAGGAGCTCAGAGGTAAAGGTACCTACCTGCCCCACTGCTGGCATTGCTGGCAAGGCAGGAGGCTGCAGCTGTCACCATTCACTCCTCAGAAAACACTGCAAAAATATCCATGAGATTGCTGTGATCCCATCTGGCCAGCTGACACTGACCCAGCACTACTGCTTCTGCACAGAAGGCTGCTGAATGGCACTGTTAACCGGAAATGCCTCCCAGGAAACAACAGGCACGGACCAGGATATTAAAATTACATTTTGGATTTTTTTTTTTTTTTTAATAAAAGAATTAAAGACAGCAGCATTTGTCTGAAGAGAAACAAACAAAAGCATTGCCAAGAGAACACCGATGGTCAAACATCAAGCAATTGTAGTTCTACAAGTTCAGGAAGCAGTGATGGTGAGATCTCAGTCACGAGAGGAGCCCACGGGAATGTGAGGCTCCTGGTCCCCTGGGTGCCATCTGCTTTCAGGCAATGGCAGGTCAGGTTGTACAGGCAGAGGACCAAAGTGCAACCAAAGGGTTTCCAAAGAACACTGTTGGTGTTGAAAAGTCACAAGTTCATTCTGAGCCTAAAAGTCTTTTTATATAAGCAGAATATCTGGTTAGAAATAATTATTCTCAGGCCTAAGTACAGCACAGACGAGCTCTAAAAAAAAAACAAGCAGTGATTTTTGATTCAAATATTCAGACTCTCAAATGTTACAAGCCGTATTTCCTTCTCTCTGGAGAGCTGACCTAGAAGATTAAGTTAGCTAAGAACTGAGTTGAATTGTCCTTAACAAGCCACCACTCTCACACTGCTCCGGGAACAGAACAAAGCGACCATCGATGAGCTGAAACATTTACCTTTTGGAATGAAGGTGCTGGAAGATCACAAGATTCTATTTGGCTTGGTCACTTTTATTCCAATCCAGAGCATCAGTATTATTGCATGCACTGAGAAACCAAGCAGTTCAACGCCAACAGCTCAACCCTGGCAGAAACATGGGGAGCACACTCACAGTTGTGAGCATGGGGTATTTATTAGACACAGCTTTAGGTGGCACACACCAAAGCAGCCACACAATGAATGTTCTCCAGTCGTGACTTCAAGCCTTCCAATCCTCTTGTACTTGATTCTCACTTAAGAATGCAATTAGTGGGAAATGTACCCCACATTTTCATTCTTCACTTTTACATCTGGCACCCCTTTTTAAGAATAAATTTGCTATTTCAAAGTATCTCCCTCTCTTTCTCCATGACTTTGGTGTTACAACAGCAAATCAATGTGCTTCTTTATCTGGAAATTAATTCAGTAGTTAATTCAACATCTCCTGTGTCCAAATACAGTGCTATAATCCCTGAGGTATGGTTTAAAATCATTACTACAGGCCACTTTGTTAAAGTCAACAGCTTAAGCAGAGCTCCACCACAACAGTGCTCCTTTCTGCCTCCCAAAATATAAATTGAGAAAAAAATGAGCACACAGTTAAGATCACTGTGAGCAACTTTTTTTTTTTTTCCCTTCCTATTAATTCCTCCTGGCATAAGAGATCACTGGTTCTGCAAATTTGCCATGAGTATGCTTGAGATGTCTTTCAACTGCCAGCACATTTCCCTGGCCATCCCCCCAGCACAGTCTTTACCCAACACTGCCTTGCAGTAAGAGTTTCCATGAGATGGTTTCAGAAGTCCCCAAGTTCAGTGAAGGGTAACGTCTGATGACAGACACTTCAGCAGTCAAACTCCTACAGAAATGGATTTCTTTAACCAGCTGCACCAGCAAGTATTACAGAATCACAGACTTGGAAGGGATCATTCACTCCAGCCCCCACATTATTGCTGCCTTCTTCAAGGCACATCCTCTTGCAAATGCACCATTCTGCCCCAGATTGGACAAACACTTCTTTACATTTACCCTTTTCAGTAAGGACTCTGAGATGTCACAGGAGGTGCTGTGTTTGTCAGATTCTCATTTGCCAGACATTACTTAGCATCAGCTTCTCTAAGTCAAAGGCAAGGCAGAATTCATGTCTGCATTCAAAACACCTCCTGTTTGCTGTGGCAACAAGAACAAACTGATACTGCTAATAGCAGAACTGGACAAGCAGCAGCTCAGCTTTCTCATGATTTGAGGAAGACCTAGAAGAGCTCATTTCAACCTGAGCTAATACCTGTCCTGTACAGGGGCAAAGAGTGTTTCCTAAACAGCCCATAAACTCACAGTGGAAGACAGTGGCCTCCTTGGAAAAGAGAAACCTTTGTACTACATCAGACTTGCACAAGGATATGTGAGCCAGAGCCCTTTAGAAGCAAGTTCAGAAAGCTCAGTCAAACCCTTAACTTGGGACCTTCTTTCATTTTTGCTGATTTTCCCCTAAAATCTCAAATGAAACCCACTGAAATACTATCAATGCATTTTCAAGCAAGTCAGCTCCCATCCTCCTCTTTTTTACACAGTGCTCAAGTAGTGCATTCCTTAAACAGCACCTTCCTCTCCTTACAGTGTAAAAACTCTCCAAAGCCACAGAAGCAGAGTAAGATGCACAAGACCACAGTGGGAATGGGAGCATCTCACTGGGCACTGTGAGCAGGCATCCCAGCTGCGTGCTTCTCTTAAGAACAACTGTGGTAAGAGTACACAAATCAACAGAAGGAACCTGTGTTTGAGTACTGGGGTCACCTGTGCAGTTGGTGCTCATTCAGGCAACTGAATTTGCCGGAGTCGACTTACAACTGGCTTACAAACTGCACTCATGGCTTTTGTAAATATCTGCATTCATGTACACTGTATGTAAACACTGAATCTGAAATGACTTCACCACCAAGGTTTCCATGTGCAAATATACAGTCTCCCTTCATTCTGCTCCTTATGTATTATTTATAATAAAACACAAAAAAGAACAAAACCCACGCGTTTGTTCGTTCCCCCCCTCAAACCCCTGCCTGCAGACTCCCTGAAAATGAAGATTAAATATCAACCTAAAGGTTCACAATAAATGAACTAATTAACTGAATCGTGGCTTAAAACAAGCATCGCTGAATCTATTCCTCCATTAAAGAGGACTAGAAATCCCTGCACAGAAAAAGCAGCAAATAGATGTTAGAAGTACTATTAGTTAAGACATCAGACAAAAACAGATCAGATTCCTGACTTGATACTTTTGTCTTCACATAACAACTCCATTTGGATGTTCAAAAGTCAGTGTGTCTCAACAGAAAATACTGCAATGTGATATGAATAAAGGAAAGGCTTTCAGTCTCAAAACACACCAAAAAACAATCTGTACAGACTGCCCGGCGTTATCAGCTTGTTCCAAGGATCCAAGACTGCTCTAAATTAAGCACAGCTGAAGACTGTTGTAGATGCATCCAAATGTAGGGTTGTTTCAATAACTTAATAGCACTTTGATGAATGCCTTGCTCAATTCTTCACTGCTGAAGGAGGATCACAGTCTTCAGTTTACAGCAAAGAATAAAACAAGGCAGTTATGAAGATCATGTAACACAGAGCTCTGAAGCCCAGAGTGGAGGTTTACTGCAATATGGTAGACTGCTTCTGGTTGCTTGAGCACAAGCAGCTGCTGTAGAGGCAGTTTCCTCCTCTACCTCTGTGCAATCTTCTGTTTCTTGGAATGGATTTTCCAGGAGTTTCAATACATTTCTCACCTACAGAAAAAACCACAGTATGGTTACTACAGTTAAGAAAGACAAAATGATGTAGAAAAGAACCTCAAATTAAGTGATGATTGAACATGCTGTTCTTAATACGCAAACTCCAGGAAAGCCAAGTAGGAAATACATGAAAAATATCTACAGAAATGAGCCAAAAACTGTAAAGTAATTTGTATCTGCATGGAACACGAGCTCAGATAACTTAAAATGCAGGTCTTGTACCCAAATCCTTTTGACATATTTCTCAGAATACATTACTTGACCCTTATTCTGAATGTAACAATCTGCATGCTGAACTCCACAGATGAAAGCCAGGAATTTTTAATAATACCATATAGCACAGCAAAGACCAGGTGGAAGTTAAACCCCAACTTCAAGACAGTGAAGTGTCTTAAGATCAGGTACAGTTCAGACTCAGATTTTGAGTTCCTCTCTTTGTTCAGCAGTCATTAAAACCACAGCTCACTCAAAAACAGGACAAGCATTCCAAACAGAAAATTCCCAATCCCTTTACTTAAAAAACAGCCAGAAAGAAGCTCACCTGGCATTGAGTTAAAGAGCAGCAGCACTACGCATCCATGCAAACCTGTACAGCTGTTCAGCAGCAATCTTACCTCTGAGAAATCCCCATTTTCAGCTGCTTCTATGGCATTCTGGGCGATATAATTTCTCAAGATGTACTTTGGATTGTTGGAGTTCATAACCTTCACACGTTCAGTATTCCATGCATCACCATCACTGATGTTTTCTACTTCTTTGTGTAAACGGACTCTGAAATTAAGCGTGCAGAAACAAGTTTGCTTCCAGATGTAGAAGCCAATGTGATTCTTGTCTAAAGACCTTTAGCTGATGTCCGTCATGCACTGCTCTGTGAAAACCTTCACATTCAGAACTTAGCTTTTAAATATTTCTGTGCTTGTTTATTGGTGGAATTGTTTCACATTCTGATGAAAGGGATGCAGTACAGCTCCAACTGTTTGATCTGCCAGCAGGAATGCCTGCTAGGACTCTCAGACCCACTGTTAAAAGAGATCCCAGCCAGCCAGGTGAGGAAACAAGTCCTGACCTAGGCCACAGAGCAGAAACAACTAACATTCCACAGGACATTTTTGTACTGACAGCCTCCCACTAACAGAACTCTTACACACTGGTGAACGCTCTCAGCTGCCTGCACCTCACCTCCAGCCCTCAGTCTACAGACTTTGACACATCATTCTCAAAGTGCAGAGCAAACATACTGCTATGGACACTGATAAACCTCACCTGTATTTCTCCAGCCATTCTGTCCAGTGTCTTTTATTTCTGCTGAGTAAATCAGCTGCTGTCAACTGCTGCAGTTTAGAGAATTGTTCAATGCGTTCTAATTCTTTATTTATACTAGCTTTTGTTCCAATGAGTGCAAACAGCTGAGGATTAGACTGAGCCAACATCAGCATCATTGACAGCTGTCTGGGAACAGTGGGAAAAAAAACACATTAGACATTAAAGTTGCAAGGCCTGTTTTTGCAACCAAGAAGTAGACGTGAAAACATTCACAATAAACTGATTCCACTGTAGAAATTAAATACCAGTGTTTATAATTCACAAAACAAACATATATATGTATATTACATATACATAATTTGTTTTATGAATATATATATACACACACATACATATATAATACAAAATATATAAAAATATATATATTATATAAAAATATATATAAAACAGACTTACATATTTTACTAATGAAGGGGGGAGGAACAGTGTGTTTAATCTGCATTCCTGTGACACACAAAGTGTAGACAGTAGAGTTTCAGAACTACCAATTGGATTTAGATGCAAAATCTCATCAAAACACCCTACTTTGAGAGGAGTATGGCATAAGGAGCTTCACCCTACCTCAGCACCAGAACAACAGAGAATCTACGCATTTTTAAAATGCATTTTCTAACATTCATACTGTAACAACATTAAAAACAATTATTCAACACCTACTCTTCTCAGCAGTACTAAAAGCAAACTCTATGGGTTGATTAGGACTGTATCTTTTTACATTAGACTGTGTTAGCTGGTAATGTGGAAGAGCTTTATTGTATTTTGGCTATGATGCTCACCTTTTTTTTCTGGATTCGTAACTAAACAAGCAAACTAAAGAGCCAAGAGTCCAAGTTGCAGAATATTAAAACACTCCACTTATTTTCCTATGAACGCATTCACAAACAAAAACCATCTCTCCCCAGCACCAGACAACTAATTACATCAAAACCGTGTTTTCCTACTTTCAGTAGGCAGAGATAAGCTATGTGCTTTCATTTATTTCAGTTACACTAAGTATTATCCCAAGTTATATCACAGCAGTTGGAATCTGATCAGTTACGCACTCAGTTTAATGTGCTGCTGTGCCCCCACTCCAAAGCTTTACTCTGCATCACAGTGATTTATAGCGACCTTCCACATTCCTTTCTAAGCCTAAACATAACACAAACATGAGTGCCTTCAATTTTAAAGCAGCTGAAGCCTGGAGCTTAATTAAAGCAGCAGTGCCTACCAACTTATTTACTTCTCCTTTAAGTCGCTTCAGTTTCAGCGATGGGACATAAGTAACATTTCCAAAATGATCAATGATGACTGCCAGCAATCTTGGGGAAACATCAAACTTAGGTGAGCAAGCTGATACCAACCAGTTCTTCTGCCCAACTCCCTGCTCACGAGCTGATAACTGTGATACCGACACACAGAGCAAGAGGAAGAATTTGGCAGGTTGCATTCAGGGAGCGTTTGTGAAAGAGGGAGAGGAAAAGCCCTGCCCAAAATACACCCAACTTGTAATTTTTCCCATCCCACCCGTGAGATGCTAGGATTAAAAACAACAAAAAGACAAACTCATGGATCAAACAACGCCCCTGTTTTCCACTGCTCCAAAAAAGTGGAAAACTGCTCTACTTTCATAAATCACTTTTATAAATCAGCAGGTGAACAAAAATTACCATTTTACCACATTCAGAGCAGCTGAGCTACAGAACAGGAATGGCACCAACCAGGTTGCAGAGCCTGAAGCGTGCACTTCAGCTACACTCAGCTCACAGTACTGCTGGCTAGAAGTGATTAGCCAACAGTATCTAGGACAGAAAACTGACAAGACACAGGAAGTGTTGTTTAAATCTATTACGTCTATAAAATATTACTGCATTACTCCACTATCTGACATTCTGTCCTTGGCTCAGTAGCAGGGAATGTGAGGAAGAAGAAAGGAGGAAAACAGAAATCCTGACAAGTGCAGCCCAAGAGCCACCCTCTGCAAGTCCCTGCTGAGCATTTAACAGTCACAAACTATGCAAGAATTTCCACTGCTGTAGATTGTGATACATCTGCTTAGCAGTGAGATTTCCAACTGTGATATTACTAGCTTTGTAATACACAGCAGGCTGAATTCATTATAGTAAAGGTGAAACTAAAAGCACTGGTCAAGGCATTTAAAGAAAGAGCAGCATTACCTTGGATCCATCTGAGGTCTGAAAGCAACTCTCAGTTCTTCCACTGAAGCACACTGACTCATAAGCTTTTCTAAGAAATCTTCCAGTCCTGAAGGATCAGTATCTACTGAGAATGAACTCAGCAAGTAGAAAATATTTGTGAAGTCCCCACCTGAAAAAATGAATTTTATGGGTAATGGAACTAAGAAATCAGTAAGAAAAACAGGTCCCACAGTCCCCTCCTAACCCTCCTGCCCTCAGAGCAGTGTGGCACTCCCTCAGCAACACTGCAATGCAACACAGGGTGCCATGTAAAAAAGCAACAACTGCCACACAATTCACACAAATTCAGTTCTCCCTCAGTCTTCTGTTCTCTCAGATGACAGAGTAGTTGCGCCAGGCCGCTTTATTGTAAGGTGAGGATGAAAATGATGGCTTGGTGTAACTGTAAGGTACTCATGGTCTACCTGTGTTCTTCACCAACCTGTGAGATGCATGGTTTCAAGCAGTTCAGACACCAGCTTACTATCTTCTTCTAATTCCAACTGAATTAGGCCCAGTTTCTTCCTCATCTTCTGCAAATAATGTTTTTCAAATTCTGCATCATATTCTTCCTCCAGGATGAGCTCACTTATTTCCAAGGGCAGCTCTGGGACTAAGGCTTCAGCAAGCTTCCCTAGATTCCACTTGCAAATCTCTGGCTGTTTGTTGTAAGCATAGCGCCCTGTGTTATCGGAGCCATTGCAGATGTGCTCAGGGTCATATCTACAGGAGAACAAATAGCATTCTGTTATCTGGACACCAATACCATGTGAAGCTCTGTGGGAGTCTAAAACACAGCTGGAAGGGAACGGTTCTCCTTGTTTTGATTCTCTTCCAAAAGCTGTCTGGTCAGGTGTTTTCTTGCCCTCCCAGTCACTGAGGAGCTCCACAAGCTGCCAGAGCAGTATAACATTTAGAGAAGTTATGAATATAGTTTTATGTAAAAGCTGAACAGAGGAATTACATGACAACCAAGCCTAACTTAACCTACTTTGCTACAGAGAAGGTTTGTAAGTCTACTTGACAGCTAAGATATTAAAGCAATAGTGAACAACATCAGGACTGCTTTACACAGATAATACATAAGCACGTTTTGAATAATGCCCATAAGCTCCACTGACCTGTCCATAAATCCAAAAGGGCCGTAGTCAATAGTTAATCCAACTATGCTCATGTTATCTGTATTCAGCACACCATGGCAGAAGCCAACACACTGCCACTCAGCAACCAATCTTGCTGTCCGTTTTGTTATCTAAAAGAGAAGAGAATTTTGTTTTTCAACACAGTGTTTGACAATTCATACAATTCCAAGCATTTGCTAGGCTGAATGGATTTTTCTACTGCTCTGATGGGAGCAGACTGTGGCAGCACACCATGTATACAAGTACCTTGCAGACACCTGGCCTCTTTCCTCCTTTTATTAACTGCCTAGTTCCTTAATTTCCCATTTGTTCTCCCTTTCTTCTTTCCATGCTCAAAAAATTGAGTTGTACAGCTTCCAAACATGCCAAAGACAGAACGCTGAAATACAGTTAAACCATCTGACATCATGGTTAAATGCTTTTCTAGTCCATTCTTTTTTTCACTGTTTATTTTAAAGAACCATTAGCTACAGGCAGGAGAAAAAAGCAAAAGTCTGAGGAATAAAAGGAAGAAACAAATACTAAGTAAACCAGAAAGCTGACTTCGTGTACAGGAGTGATTTACAAAAAGGTAAGTGGATTAGACAAAAATGATTCCCTCCTTACAAGCTTCAGCACTGATGAGCACTTACCCCAATCTGCCAGGAGCAGAAAAAAGCCAGGAGTTCACCTTTTAGATAAAAGATATCCCAAGAATGGCACCTTTATTTAAATTTCATGCTTCACTGAATGCATGTTTCACCAGAGTTTGTCAGTTATTTAACTGTTACCTCTGTGGAACCCTCAACTGTCACCACTGCATGCACCCATGCATTTGGCAGAGATCACAGCGTGTGATTTTACAATAGGTCCAGTTATTTAATTTAGCCCATCTGTCAAATGCAACTACAAAATCTAAAATTCAGGAAGCTAACCTGGCTTTTAAACAAATCTCTGTATTTCTAAATGCTTCACTGAACTGACATAAATTAATTGATGTAACCATTAGCTAAAGCTTTTGAATCAAACTGTTTTCAGAGTTAAAGTCATTTATCTTCCCTATAGCTAGCAATGTGCTGAAATTTAAAGTGACTGCTCTCTCCAGGATGTGGTGCATTTATTAAGGATTAAAAAATGATCTCATTAACAGAGGTGATTTTAGTTTCTTCCATTTGTCTTCACATTCTCTTCCACTTTTCTCTGTTAAAGATGAGTAGTCAGTCAGATGAGGAAGAAAAACAAGAGAATGCTTATCCCAGGATAATCTGCCAGGTAGAAAAGGCTGTAAATGAAAGCTGGAACAAAAGCTTTTGGTTTACCTTGAGATCCCAGGCTTCTACTCTTTCCAATATCCTCACTGCCAGTACTCTACACACTGCTCCTGAATTCTGCTTCACAGGGCAGTTGGAAGTAAGAGCTCCAAGTCGCTACGCGTGCACAAAACTGATAGCAAGAAAGAAAGGGAGACACACCTTGCGAGATGGTTCTGTGCCAGGAAGATGGGAAAAATAAGGAAAGAAGAACAAAACTTCCAGCAGTTAAGCAACTCACAACCGCTGGATTCTTCGTGTGAATGTATGATGCTCTGCCAACGTTCTGGTAAAAAATACATCCAGCCAACAAGAACACCTGAAAGCAATTAAAGCTTGGATGCAGCTCACAGGTGGGTATCTTGATTAGAAAGAGACAGCTTTCTTTTTACTTCAACCTTCGAGTCTTTTTAACCAGATTTTTCTACTGCTAGCTATACTAGAAAACAAGTGTGATATATACAAACAAGAGCACTCTATTAAAAACATGCTCATGGAAGTTTAAAGAGCAACTACAATTTTTAAAATATTTTAAGCAAATGCAGATATTTGTGTTTATTTTCTCATCAGTACTGTGAAATGCAATCACTTGTACTTTTTTCCTCCCTTTCCTCCACAGGGCAACAAGATAAAAGTACATCAGAGCAGAGCTGGGAGCATTTCCCTCCTACTCAAAAAGACAGAAGTGGTTGGTAAATGAGGCAGGACTGGGGTGCTGTTCAGATGGAGATGGCTACGGTAATCTTCCACCAAGGAGACTAAACATGGAAGTACAATGCTAGCACAGATATGCAGCAAGGACAGACCTGGACTGGAGAAGCACAACAAAAATGACAAAAACAGGGCAGTAAGGAAAGCATAGCAGAACGGGGGGTAGAAATCAGTAGTAACTGTATCAGGAAAAGAAGTCAAAGGCAGAAAGAGGCAGGAGTGGCTCATGGAGACTGAGATGGGAGGGGAGCAAGGGGAAAAACAATCTTTGTTCACACACTCCCCTGCAAAGATCCTCAAGTTCCATATTTTTTCTGACACAAGAAAGTGAAGGTGCTATTGACTACAGAGCTGTACAAACCCACAGCTGGTGGGGAGCTGCAGTCACCGCCAGCTCCATTAATTCACATGTGAAAGGTCTGTTAGTGAAGCTAACCTCTGCAGCACCTAATGGTGAACTGAACTACCACTTGCTTTTCAAAAATGAATTATTGCAAGTATGCACAAACTCAGAACTCACAAGAGTTAGAGAGCATCAGATGTTAAGCCTGCCTGATGTCTTCTTACTGCTCTGTGACTAACATTCACCATGCTGCAGTCACTTCACCACCAACAGATCATTTCAGGAGATGTCAAAGCATCACAGCTGCTGTCACATAAACCAGTCACGCACATCAGACTGCTGTAACTACCCAGTAAGCAGAATTACAAGTATCAGCATCGAGTTTGAACATCAGGTGATTCAAATCAGAATCTTTATTACAGTTCTCTGCTAATTCCAAGTTGGATCCTTTCTGAAGGGTAGCACTACTGCATACGAAACTCCAAACCGCAAACAGAAGTTTCTTATTTCCCTACCTGAAATTCTTTCTTTTGCTTGCTGAAATAAAGGAATATAATGGAAATTCAGTGTCAAGAATTACAGTATCAACAGTGAGGAAAAGGGTAATTGGGAAGGTGAAGTTTAGATACCAATTAACTAATTAACTAAGCAACACTTTTCTTCAGAGAGATACACAGCAATGCTACCTTTACTGATGTTGTAATTCAACTTTTATAGCTCTCCTGCAATAATTGCTGATGTCTGAACTTACCCAGTAACTAAAAATGGCTCAAAACTGCCTCTGAGAAATCATCCAGCCCCTCCTCTGGGCCACTACAGAATCACCTACCACTACATCACTACGATACGTTTATCTTGATGTTACCATTCCCCAAGCTGAAGGTTTTGTTACCTCTTTGGGAAAATTGTTTCATTGTTTGGCTGCCTTTAAATACTTGAATTCTAAAGTTAAAGTGATTTGTAGACAACATTCCTGTTCATAGTGTGGAAAATAAAGAGAGAGACAGCAACTTAGCTGTTTTCAGTGCTTTAGAAGATGAAACCTTGCAAATGCTACCTCAGCATCATTTACCCACTGCTTGACAGATAGGGCCAGAATTCACCCTTGCACTCTAGAACACCTTCAGTAAAGTAAAAGAAGTTTTGGGAAGCTCGCTGAGAGACAAGAAATCGTGCTGTGCTAAGGTAAATAATGAGCTGTTTTCATTAGTTCAATCAGTGTCAGCACTGCTTTTATCAGTAGCATGGTCAGGTTGTGGTTGGAGTTGATGATCTTGAAGCTCTTTTCCAACCTGAGCAATTCCACGATTGCATGAATAAGCAGCTCTATTGAGAGCGTCTTCTCCAAAGAAAACGCATCTGAAGCAATATTAAGTGACTGCAGTTCTTCCAGACGACTGGTACAAATTTATGAAGAGAAACTGATCTTCCTTACCTCCCTGAAGAACGCGGCATTCCTCTGAATGCTGTTGTCTGCATGAGCCTCCTGGATTTCCGGGTAGAAAGTGCCGATCACGTAATCCAGCATCTGTATCCGAATGTCGTTCCGGTTAACGCTGGGACCTTTGCGTCCTGTGTATTCATCAGGAGGTTTGAAAATTTCAAAGGAACCAAATCTGTTTGAAAATAACAAAAACGTGGCTTAGAATTACTTTTCACTACTATCTGATCACATTAACTTCCTCCAGCGTTACCAGTAGTGAAAGGATTTGGTGGTGCAATACCATCTTTTGAGTTTAACACCAGTCCTTCAACCGACTGTGAGCAGAAAACTGTGACTGTGCTGAAGCTGCTGAAACTCAGTGACTCAACGGAAGGAAGCACATACATCCACACAAGACAGATCAATATTTAAAATACTGGACTTGACATCACATTTAAGATATATTTTCCCATATGCACATGCACATAAACATACATTTTTTATGTCTCACATTTTCTTAACATGCATTTTCTTCTAAGGCAACATTATCTTCCCCAAACTCCTGTTTTGCACTGGAGCAGGAACTTCATGTGCTTTTCAGGCAAGGAAAGTACCACCCTCAGGCTTTTAGAGGGCACCCCCAAACCTCAAGAGTATCATTATAACAACTTTGGAACCAGGTGTGGAACCAATTCTACTAACAAAAAAATAAAATAGAATAAACAAAACCACACGCAAGCATAAAAATTAAAAACTTATTTTGATATCTGCAGAACTTTCTATCCCAGTGGTACTCTGAGTTAGTGTCTATCTCCCCATGGGCAAGATGCTGCCTTACCTCACCCCATGGCCTACCACAGCAGCTTCCTAACACACAGCCTGGCAAATGAGTTCCAAGATTCCAGAACAAGACCCAAGCAAATGCTGCTGTTATCAAAATATGCTTAAAATGATCTTTTTGTGTCCAGTTTTAAATGAATAACAGTAAAAAAGAGAAGTGGGCTTCTTCCTACCTTATAAATGTAGGCGCTATCCTCAGAACAACTGTACACCTTTCTTTTTTTGGATTTCCATCATAAAATACGTCACGAACAACTTCCGAGTCAGATGTCACACAGGTTCCAGCCCTCGTTGTTGGAATTCCAAGGTGGAACATGGCCTCGCTGCACAGGAACTCCCGTATGCTTGACCTCAGGACCTTCCGACCATCGGCTTGCCTGCAGCAGAGACACAGACAGGTTGTAAGCCTTCTGACTGCACGGGAAGGGATTGCTGCCTCCTCCTTAGCAGAGGGAAGCAAGGGCTGAGAAGTGAAGTGCTGTGCTGAAAATCACAGGGCAACACAGGGGCAGATCCGAGCTGGCCAGGCCTCTGGGTTTCTGGTGGAGTTCAGAATGAGTGGCCACAACACAGGTGCAGTGAAGCTCACATGCAATGGAAGTCAAATCTAAAGGCCACGTAGTCCAACTCTCTGACATGGGCAGGCTGCCACCCACCAACTCAGGGCCCCATCCTGCCTGGTCTGGGACGCCTCCAGGGATGGGGCACCCACAGCTTCTGTGGGCAGCTGTGCCAGTGCCTCACCACTCTCTGAGTGAAGAATTTCTGCCTAACATCTAACTTAAATTTCTTCTCTTTTAGTTTAAAGCCATTTCCTCTTACCCTCTGACTGTGTAAAAAGTTGCTGCCCTTCCTGCTTATAAAAGCTCTCTGAGTACCAGAAGACCACAATGAGATCTCTTTTTAACTCCAATAAGCTTTGAAAATTAATACTTTTGTAATATTTAACCAATACAGTACAAAGACTACACAGTCCTCCAGCTGCACACAAGTGGGTTTGTAACTGTCCACGGTACGGGAAGAACACCACGGGAGTAACCAAAATAACAAGTAACACATGCAATAAGTCTATTTTGCGGTTCATTCTGTACGAGAAGAACGGCTGCTGGGCCTCCCCCAGGTCTCAGCTGTACACACTGAAGCGCTGTGAAGTTCAGGCAGAACGGAAACAGAACTCCCAAGAAACACGAGGGTGAAATCACACCAGGCGTTCGGACAGCACAAGCTCCGAGACCTTGCCCAGCCCAGGCTGGAGCCGGGGCAGCGCCAGCAGCGCAGTGAGCAGCAACACGGCCAAGCCAGCAGCGCTCCCCCCACCCGGCCCCGTCCCGCCGCCCCGTACCGGGAGAAGGGGGTGATCCCGGCGCCCTTCAGCTGCAGCTCCCAACGGGCGCCGCGCGGGCCGCGCACCTCGCCCAGGTAGATGGCGGCGCCGTCGCCCAGCTGCCCCGCGAAGCTGCCGAACTGGTGCCCGCAGTAGCAGTGCGCCGCGGGCTCCGAGCCGGGCAGCAGTCGGTTCCCGCTGAAGTACAGGGCGGCCTCCGCCTCCCGCTCGGCCTCGAGGCCGCCGGCCTCCAGCCCCAGCAGCGCCAGCGCCGGCGGCGACGCAGCCACGAGCCGCGGGTTGCGCAGCGGGGTGGGCCGCACCCGGGCGAAGCAGGCGCCGGGCACGGCCCGCGGAGCGCCGTCCTCGGAAGGGTCGACGGGCAGCGAGCGCAGCGCCAGGTTGTCGAAGCGCAGCGCGCTCAGCCAGCCACCCCCCTCCGCCCCCTCGGGGCTGCCCGGCCGCGATGGAGGACCCGCGGGGCGCTGCATGGCGGTGCGGAGGACGCGCGGCGACGGCACCGAGCGGCGGCGCAACGCCGCGGCCATCCGCCCGCCCCCGGGGAGGCCCCGCCCGCCGCGCGGTTCGGCACGGCCGCGGGGAACGGAGCCCTGCGGGCGGCCGGGGAGCTGTGCGCGCGGGGCTGGCGGCAGTGAGCTGGGGCCAATGGGCGGCTGCACAGTGGGGGCGGGCCGGCCGGCCGGCCGGCCGGCGGCGCCGAGGTGACCCGGGGGAATAAAAGCCGGAGCCCGGCGCTGGAAGGACTGCCGGGACGGGAAGATGCGCGAGCGGGAGGAGGAGCGCTGGGGGCGGTGAGTGTCTGCGCGGCGCTGCCGCTCGGTGAGCGCGGGTTCGTCGCGGGGTTTCAGTCGGGGCTCCTCGGGAGATCGCTCCGCTCCTGCCGGCACAGCGCCGAGCCGCCGCGGCGCGATGTCGTGGCTGACGCGGGCGGGGAAGTCCAAGGAGAAAGAGGAGCCGGAGTGTTCCGTGGGGCGGGAGGAGAGGGGGCTGCTGGTGCAGGTCATGCTGGAGCACGGTGGGGATCCCTGGGATTATAAAGCTGTCGGCCAGGATCCCACCCTAAAAGCCGCCGAGAGGCACTGGGTGAACTACGTCTCCACGTATCACCCCAAGGGAGACAAGAAGTGCTCGGCCCTGCAGTGGCTGCTCTTCGACCTGGCCAGCGTCCTCCAGGCTGCGGTGGAGGAGAAGGAGCAGTGCGCGAAGAACCTGCAGAACAGCTTGCAGGTGGCGCACAACGAGATCCTGGCGCTGCGCTGTGACAACGCGCTGCTGGGCGAGCAGCTGCGGAGGGCCAGGGAGGAGCTCAGGGCTGAGAGCGCAGAGAACGCCCGGCTGAGAAGGAAGGTGCAGTGCCTGAGCAGGCTGCTGGGGAAGGGGCTGGATCAGAGGAAAGTGGCGGCTCTGAGCGAGGGAGACGGGGAGCCGGGGCTGCGGGACGGGGATGTCTGGGACGTGGAGATCCAAGAGAACTCCGCTGTGCAAGGTGGGGTTGCTGTGGGTGCCAGGAAAACGAAACTGGCAGAGCGAGAGGGAAGCGCAGGAACGGGGGATAGGGATGTGTCAAAAAAAGAGAAAGTCTGGAAGAAAAACAAGGAGGGCTGGCCCATGTGGGTAAACCGCATTTGGAGCTTAGAACAGCACACTCCCTTCACGCACGAGGCGGCAAAGCGGGTGGTCACGGCCATAGGGCTGCCGTGGCCGAAGGTGGGGGCCATCATCAGAGCCTTGCCGCCCGATGAGGCCTTGGGAGGAGAAATCTTAAGGCTGGTGATTAGAAATCTAGGGGAATATGAGCCCCTCAAGGATAACATGGAAGGGGCGCCCTGGAGAGATATCCAGGAGGCGGCGGCGTACGTGTGTGGGAATGTGGTGCTGCGGGCACTAAAGCAGCAGGAGAAACCCGTGAGCTCCGATTTTGACATTCTGGGCATGAATGTGGAGCAGGGGGATGTCGGGGTGCTGGCCTGCCGTGCTCCCGAGGCACACAGGGGGTTCTTCATCAGCCTGGGTTCCACGCTGATTGGCCGTCCCCTCCAAGAGTGCATGGCCACCCTGGAGAACCTGGGCACCCTGGTGGGGGCGGAGGGGAAAGAGAAGGCAAAGAAGGAAGCAGCGAGGGTGAGGACATACATCCCTAGGGGGATAATTTGGAGATACTTGATAAATCAGGGAGTAAATGAAGGAGAGCTAGATAGTCAGCCCACAGGAGTTCTGCTCGCCAAAATGAAGAAAATCCTTCAGGAAAAAGGGATGAAACAAGAGGAGATTTGGGAGAAACTAAAGCAGATGAAGCCATTGCCTCCTCTTCCTACCCCAAAGAGAAAACAATATCCGTTACAGAAGGACATTAAAGATTAGGGGTCCCAGCCCTGGTGTCAGTGGGATTAACCTCTACCACGCTTGCTTGATATCTGGAAGAAGGAACTGCCTGGAAGCGCAGTGTCTGCTGAATGGCAGTGAGAAGTTAAACATTCGTTCTCAGTTGATATGGGATTAGAAGCAACATTATTAGATTATGAGGGGGTCTGGGATAAATCATTATTGGGAGTATTAGGGGGAAAAGAAGTAGAAGCACACATGTGCATGGGGGAAGATGAAGTGAATGGGCAGATAATGCTGGTGAAGGGGTAAGGAGGGCAGATATTTTAGGAAGGCATTTCCTGTCCCAGTTCAGGGTAGATCTGTCCATAAGAAAGCTACATTTGTTGTTGCTTCAAAAAATGAAAATATGAGGGGAGTCTCCAAGTCAGTGAAATGCTGGTGTAAAAGTGAAGTGAAAGCAAGAAGTGTACCAGTTTCAGCAAGGCAGAGCTGACTTTCTTCAGGGCGTGTGGTGTGGTGCTGTGTTTTGGCTTCAGGAGAAATACAGTGTTGATAGTGCACTGATGTTTTTGCTGTTGCTGAGTGGTGCTGCACAGAGCCAAGGACATTTCATCTTTTGGTACTGTCCTGCTAGCAAGGGGGCTGGGAGTCACAGAAGCGAGGAGGAGACAGAACCAGAGCAGCTGACCTACACTGGCCAAAGGGATAACTCATACCATATGGCATCATGTTGGACAACAGAGCTATGGAGAGCTGCTCAGGGGAGCAGCTGCTGCTAAGGGATGGGTTGGGCGTTAGTCAGCGAATGGTAAGCAGTCACCTGGTGTATCACTTGTGTGTGTGTATCTGTATATAAGTTTCTGTTAATTTCTATTTCTTTTCTTAGTGAATTGTTTTTATCTTAACCCAGGAGTTATACTTTATTTTTTTTCCCCAGTTCTCTCCCTCATCCCACAGTGAGCAAACAGCTGCCTGCTAGATTAAACCACAACACAGATAGTAAAGAGAGACTGTGAGGTAATTCCATGTGATGACCCTGTCACCCAGAACTGCTGCAGTGCACAGAGGGGTCATGAGGAGGCTTGGGGGTACAAGAAAGGCTTTAAGGAATGGGACTTAAAACTCCTACATTCACGATTCCTGGCTGAATCCAGGAATATGGACTATGTTGATGGTGGAAATTTCTTGCAGTGAACAGTCTGCTTTGGGTTATGCCTTTCATCCCTGAGAACAGACATTATTTGAGCAGTGGTAAATTGATTATGCGGGCCCTTTAAAGAGACTAAAGGATATCAATTTAATAGAATCATAGAATTGTTTGGGTTGGAAGGGACCTTTAAGATCATCTGCTTCCAACTTCCCTGCTATAGGTAGGGACACCTCCCTCTAGACCATGTTGCTCAAACCCTATCCAGCCTGGCCTCAAATGCTTCTATGGAGGGGGCATCCACAGCCTCTTCTGGGCAACCTGTTCCAGTGTCTCACCACTGTCACAGTAAAGAACTTCTTTCTGATACCTAGTCTAAATCTATCCTCCAAGCCATTCTGCTTCCCAGAATTCGGATACATATTCATTCCATTTCTGAGAACCCATAGCATGTGGTCCCTCCCCCTCGTGCATGTGTAGTGAGTTGTGGGCGTCCCCTCCTTGTGGTCATGGGATGAAGAATAACAGTCTTCCTCATGAAGGCTTGTAGTCTTCCTTGCTGTAAACTCTTGATCCTGCAAGAGGGGCAGCCCCTGATCCAGTTCTAACTTCTCTTATGGACATCTTGCCACTTACCAAATGTCTTCAAGCTATTCTCAAAACTTTTATCTTTGTCCTCCACCTCCCGATTGTTCTAATCCCAGCTTGTTGCAATCTTCATTCTTTTAGCAGTCTGCACATCTGTTTCTGTGAACCATCTTTTACTCTTCAATTCTCTGCTGAGCATGTATTTGCACATGGGATTGCCTTCATGCAGGTGCAGAGCCTTGCACTTGTTTGTTGCCATTGACAGAACAAGATGGGTGGAGAGGCAGAGGCAGTCTGTGAGGCTGCTGCTAATACCACTGTTTAATGTTCACGTGAAATATTGAACAGATTTGACTCTGCTCATAATTGATTCAGATAAAGGAAGACAGATGGACCAGCTCAGAAATTTCTTAAAGGCATGGAGCTACATTGATTAACTCTTATTTCCTACTGTTCACAGTCCTTCAGCTGTTAGCTGCATCAGGGTGAGACTGAAGGTAATTGACGAAGTAAGAGGACTGACCTGGAACGAAGCAATCCTGGTTTTGTGTGAGCGAAGAACATACAAGGTACCAGTGATAGCTGCTGAGAGCTATGCCTGAATATGGCCATGGCCAGAAAACTCTCTGGCCCAACTTAAAGGTTGGGTTAAAAGCTATTTGTTATTAAGGAAGAAAAGGAAGAAAAAATAATAATAAAAATACAATAGACAAATACAGTTATCATTGCTGTATACAGCTACAATACAATTGCTCAGCTAGTCATCAGGAGCTGATGCCAAGCCAGTTCCTGAGCAGTGGCTGCCTCCCCTGGTGAGCTTCCCACGGCTTTATACTTTTTTATGTGATATGTGGGGGGAAAGCATCTGGGCAGTGGGGGACTGCTGAAACTGCTGATCCTCCCATGGTACTGCTCTCCAATGAGATGCCCATGTCTTGTTTTGCAGGTTCTATGGGTAAAGATAGAAACCAAAGTACAATGTGGGTCATTTGCTCTGCTCTGTTGTGAATGCTCTGCCTTGCCTCTTGCCTCTTGATCTAGATGTTGTTTTTTTCTGACACCTAACTCCAAGTAAGCAGACAAAAGACATTGAATTGAATTACTTTCCATTATTTTTGGTCTGATTTTTGGGTGATGCTGTGTGGAGCCAAGAGTTGGACTGGATAATCCTTATGGGTCCCTTCCAACTTGGGATATTCTATGATCACATACTATTGAATATCCTGTTAGTTAATTTAAGAAGCTTTAAGACTGGAAAAGACCACTAAGCTCATCTAGTCCAACCATCAACCCATCACCACCACGCCCACTAAACCATGTCCCTCAGTGATGTACTGTGTAGCAAGGCCATAGCAGACATAGCTGCTTTAAGCCAGTCTGACTTCCAAAACTTTTGCCAACATGTCCAGGTGTGTCAATCTTTTGTAGATTGAATCGTAGAATCGCAAGGTTGGAAACGACCTGCAAGATCATCTAGTCCAACCACCCTCCCATTCCTATCAGCACCACAAGCTACTAAACCATGTCTCGTAGCTCCTCATCCAGGCACCTCTTGAACACTGCCAGGGACGGCGACTCCACCACTCCCTGGGCAGCCATTCCAGTGCCTGACCACCCTCTGAGAGAAAAAGTTTCCTAATATCCAACCTAAACCTCCTCTGGTGTAACTTCTGGCCGTTTCCTTGGGTCCTACTATTTGCCTGGGAGAAGAGGTCAGACCCTTTTTCATCACAACCTCCCTTCAGGCAGTTATAGAGAGCAATGAGGTCTCCCCTGAGCCTCCAGACTGAACAATCCCAGCTCCCCCAGCTGCTCCTCATAAGACTTGTGCTCCAGACCCCTCACCAGTTTTGTTGCCCTTCTCTGGACACGTTCCAGGGCCTCAATGTCTTTCTTGTAGTGAGGAGCCCAAAACTGAACACAGTACTCGAGGTGCGGCCTCACCAGTGCTGAGTAGAGGGGGATGATCACCTCCCTCTCTGCTCCTGCTGGCCACGCTATTTCTAATGCAGGCCAGGATGCCGTTGGCCCTCTTGGCCACCTGAGCACACTGTCAGCTCATGTTCATCTGAGCATCAACCAACACCCCCAGGTCCCTTTCCTCTTCACGTTCATCCAGCCACTCATCTTTAAGCCTGTAACGCTGCATGGGGTTATTGTGGCCAAAGTGTGGTGTTGTAACCTTTACCCGTTTGTTTTCCCTGGGAGACCGCAGCTTGGCCAATTACTGAGGTGACACCAATATGGTGAACAGCAAAATGGTGCTTTAATGGAACAAACGCGTGCTTATATGTGGAAAGGGGGAGGGCCTAACGCGTTACAACCCGAAGATGGCGCAAGCGCCTAATACAACATCTCCCCCTCCCCATGCCAAGAGGAGCTTTGCCCCATTACAATACGCAATGTGCTAAACCTAAACAACATATATTTTAGAATTTATCCTGCATTCTACGATATTCCAATTGCGTGTAGATCATTTTCTCAGTCATTCGTTGTATACAACCTGGCAAACATTGAAAGATACATGACAAGCACAGCATTAGTCCCAAAAATATAAGAAGCCCTATTACTAATGCTTTAAGTAACTGCTTAAGCCATGGCCCAATCCCACCAAACAAATTCTCCAACCAATTTCCGAAGGGATCTTCCTGTATTCCGATCTTTTTCGTATGTTCCTTTAGCAGTTGTAACTTCTTATGTAGCTTATGTCACTGTGATTGCATAAATTGAAACAACACATCCCTTCAAAGTCATTGCATCCATGACCCTGTGCCAGGAGTAGGAAGTCGATCGCCGCTCTATTCTGGAGCACAGCATGCCTAAGGCTATCAATGTCCATGAGTAGTTCGCTTAGGAGCGCAGAAGTCATGTTGGCCTGTTTCACGGACCAACAAGCTAATCTTTCTATGCCCTTAAGCGCTTGAGCCGCAGCTACTCCCGGAGCCAGGATGGATGCAAATATTCGTGCCGTTGGTCCCCAGAGGTGTACCTCATCACTGCAGTCTGATCCTAGGGTGTGAATACTTCGCTTTTTCCGAGTCCCTTTACTTATGTCCCTGACCAATTATGTATATGCTTATATATGGAAAGGGGCCTAACGCGTTACAACCCGAAGATGGCGCAACCAACACCCCCAGGTCCCTTTCCTCTTCACACTCATCCAGCCACTCATCCCTAAGCCTGTAGCGCTGCATGGAGTTATGGTGGCCAAAGTGCGGGACCCGGCACTTAGCCTTGTTAAAACTCATCCCATTCACCTCGGCCCAGTGATCCAGCTTATCTAGATCCCTCTGCAGGGCCTCCCTGCCCTCAGGCAGATCGGCACCACTTCCCAACTTGGTGTCATCTGCAAACTTACTCAGGGTACACTCAATCCCTTCATCTAAGTCGTCAATGAAGATATTGAACAGGATGGGCCCCAGCACCGACCCCTGGGGGACATCACTTGTAACAGGTCTCCAGCTAGACTTCACTCCATTGACCACCACCTGTTGAGCACGGCCCTCCAGCCAGTTCCTTATCCAACGGAGGGTAAAACTGTCCAAGCCATGGGCAGCCAGTTTCTGCAGAAGGATACTGTGAGAGATCATGTCAAAGGCTTTGCTGAAGTCTAGGTAGACAACATCAACTGCCTTTCCCTCATCTACCAGTCTGGTCACCCAGTCGTAGAAAGAGATGAGGTTGGTCAAACACGACCTGCCTTTCATGAACCCATGCTGGCTGGGCCTGATCCTGTGGGCGTTGCGCACGAGCCGTGTGATCTCTCCCAGGAGGATTTGTTCCATGACCTTCCCTGGCACTGATGTCAGGCTGACAGGCCTGTAGTTCTCCAGATCCTCCTTACGGCCCTTCTTGCAGATGGGAATCACATCAGCAAGCCTCCAATCCTCTGGAACCTCTCCAGTCAACCAGGAGCGCTGGTAGATAGCCGAGAGCGGCTTAGCGATCACCCCCGCCAACTCCCTCAGCACCCTAGGATGAAGCCCATCCGGTTCCCATGGACTTGTGACTGTCCAGATGGAGGAGGAGCTCCCTAACGGCCTCCACCTCAATCTCCAGGGGGGCATTCTGCGTGTCAGCCCAGATATCCAGATCAGGGCACAAAGTGCCCTGAAGATAACTGGTCTGACTATTAAAGGCAGATGTAAAGAAGGCGTTGAGGATGGTCTTCTGTGTCACATTCCCCACTGCATCAATTAAAGGATAGAGATTATCCTTGGTTCTTCTCTTGCCATTGATATATTTGTAAAAGGATTTCTTATTCTGCTTTACTGCAGTGGCCAATCTAAGTTCAAGATGGGCTTTCGCCTTCCGGACTTCCTCGCTGCATACCTTAGCTACTCCCTTGTAATTTCCCCTAGTAACCTGTCCCTTCTTCCACAGGACATAGACTCTCTTTTTCTTCCTGAGTCTTGACAGTAATTCCCGGCTCATCCACACCGGTCTTCTCCCCCTGTGGCTCGCCCTACGGTATTCAGGGACAGCCTGTTTTTGTGCCTTTAAGATTTCCACCTTGAGGAGCGTCCAGGCTTCCTGGACCCCTTTACCCTTAAGGAGCGACTCCCAAGGGACCCGTGCTACAAGCGTTCTGAGCAGGTCAAAGTCCGCCCTCTTGAAATTCAAGATAGCAGTTTTGGTAGTCACCCTTCTGACATCTCCAAGAATAGAGAACTCTACAATTTCATGGCCGCTCTGCCCTAGACAGTCTCCAACCTTCACATCACCTACCAGTCCTTCTCTGTTAGCAAAGAGTAGGTCAAGCAGGGCACCACCCCTGGTAGGCTCTCGTACCAGCTGTGTAAGGAAGCTGTCTTCCACTGTCAATGGTTTACGGGCTGGTTCGGCCCAGTTCCGTGACCAGCGGGGCAGAGGGATCTGCAGATCCGTGCCTCCGGAAAAGGGAAACAGGGGACCCCAAAATAATTGAAAACAACAGCAATAATCTGAGGTGGAACAAACTGATTTACTAAATATAGTATTAGCAAAGTACAATGAGAGAGAGAGAATGTGTCTGAATGGTAGATAGGCCTCACCACAGTGCTGAGGTGAGAAGTGCAGTCCAGTTGAGTGAATGAAGAAAAGCAGACTGCAAAGCGCAGGCGAAGAAGGAATCAGGTGACCCTGCACAGAGTTCTATCTCCTCGCTGACCACCAAGCCTCCTGGGGAAATGTAGTTCTTCTCCTTCGGACAGGCACCTGTAACTTCAGCATCAGCAGTCAAACCCCCAGTGCATTACATGATGTTATGGTGTGGAATACTGATAACCAAAAATCACAAAACCATGACATCCACACACTCTAGAAACCTCTTGGACTGCTTCCTTTGAGCCATATTATATTTCCAACATATATCAGGGAAGTTGAAATCCCCCACAAGAACGAGTGCTGGCGGTCGCATGACTTCTGCAAGCTACTCATAGAACGCCTCGTCCATCTCCTCATCCTGATTCGGCGGTCTATAACAGACCCCAACTACGATGTCTCCCCTACAGGCCTTCCCCCGATCCTCACCCATAGACACTCCACTTTATCTGCAATCTCAAGTTCTTCAACATCGAAACAGTCTTTAATATAAGGGGCCACACCACCACCCTTTCTTGCTTGTCTATCCCTTCTGAAGAGCTTATAGCCATCCATCACAACACTCCAGTCATGGGAGCAGTCTCATCATGTTTCAGTAACAGCAGCTAGATCATAGTTAGCCTGGCACACAATCGCTTCTAGCCCTTCCTGCTTGTTGCTCATGCTGCGTGCATTGGTATAGATGCACTTGAGCCGAGTCATTTGCCTCACTCCCAGCTCTAAAATCATTTCCCTAGGCTCTTCTCTTGTGAGGCCTGTACTGTCCCCTTCTCCCGTCATAATTAGTT